TACTGTAAAAAAACAAAATGACGTCTTTAACATCGCTCAGCTAAAAGCAATATTTAAATAACAGATTGACTCATACATACGTATTTTTAAAGAAGGTGAAAACACCAATTGTGGCTAAATAACGCAGTACAACAGTTAATCTGGGGGGTGAGAAATTCCAAGTCAGGGTGATGGTACTAGGTCAGTATAGTAAAACCCTCAAAGTGTTTGGCGTTCGTATGTGTCAGTTTTTTTATGACCTTTTAAATTTTTTCTTTATTTCCCATGGTTTTCCATCTTAAAAAATTAATGTTTTCCAATCAGGCGTACTAAATGGTCCAGATATACGAAAGCTGATTAAAAGTGACGCCTTCAGCAATATTTTGATTGACGCTGAATTGAACGCATGGCAGGCAATCAAAGAAGTAATAGAAGGCTTGTTGGGAAGGCAACAACTACGATGTTTCTGTAGCAAGGATGTTAAGAGCATTCTCGGAAATTGTTTTTTTTTATTTTTATTTTTTTTTGGTTTTTGCTAAAACGTTACAACTAAGCGAAAAAACATCAAGATAAGGAAAAAATTTAAAATGTTATAAAAAAAAACTGACACATACGAACGCCAAACCCTTTGAGGGTTTTACTATACTGACCTAGTACCATCACCCTGACTTGGAATTTCTCACCCCCCAGACAATAATCCCAAAAATGTTCCACAGTGTAATTAATAGTATAATGAAAATTAACAAAATGTGTTTTAAGGATGGATTCCCTATTATCTTTAAAAGCCTTGGAACATAAAAGGCATTCCATGGCACCAAAGGCATTTAGAATCATAAAATATTTCTCGCAGGGCATACTTATTTGGTTTTGCGCCATAGTCTTGCGCGATGTTAATTCGTTGCTGGCGCGACAACGATTAAACGATAGAGCGTAAGCGTACGCGTGAAGTTAGTTTGCAAGATTTTGCTGTGAAATGCCGACCACTGCCGTAGTGTCGAGAATATTACTGCCGCTATCACATAAACTTAGGAAGACCCAAATCAGAATTTTGCGAAAATATCTTAGCTCACATTTTTATAAGATCGGATTGACGCAAGAACTAAAGCCACTTGACTACCAGAATCGTCATATGTTCGTGAATTGGGTTGAGTAACAACTTGAAAATGATCCGGATTTTCATCAAAAAATTATCTTCACGAGGCTCATTTCTGGCTGAATGGCTTCGTCAGAACAAAATAAAAATTATTGGTCAGGCAGCAATCCACATAATCATCCCAAAAAAGTTACGTGCGGTGCGGTTTATTGGGTTCAGCGTTTGAACTTCTGCAAGCGTGCCCATGGTGGCAAAGCAAAAGAAATCGAATACGATACATAATGGCATAGAACGTACTTTTACAGGAATGAAGAATTTTGTAGCCCTCTTATTGAGCCCTTTTACATATAACGGGTTCCTTTATTCTAACAAGCTACAGGGTCTTCCAATAGAGCTGACGTCATTTTGACCACGTCGTCTGTTCGTCAGTTTTTCGTGATGTCACTTTTTACTTTAGTATAACGCTTAGAAATTGCCCTAGATTATGATGCAAGTTCACGTTCTTTGAAAACTCTTCTCTTAGAAGAATCGATCTCTGGCTCAACAAACAAAATTGTCACTATTGGGATGAGTCATATCTACGTTTGGTTCAGAAAACGTAATTGTATTCCAAAAATTTGATGAGGTCCTTATTTCTTTTGAAATAAGGCAGGAAATGTCGTTATCGTCAACAGCAAGCGCTATAACGCCATGTTGATCGACTTCGTTCCCGGAATTTGATGAAATAGATGTGTCTAAACATCGTTAAATTGTTTGTTATTTTATTTCATATTAACATAACGTCGTTGTTGTTGGTAGACTCTTATTATACAGAATATTTTAGACTTTAAACCGTTTATGTTATTCAAAAGTGTGAGATTAAAATTAAATTAAAAAGTTTTATCTAACATAACGTTGTTTAGCGCTAAAAATAAATTGAAACTAAGCATTTTAGGAATTGAACCTTAATTCTGCGTTTACACCTTAGGGTGGACGCTCAAAGCAGAGCCGAGCGCAAGGCTGACGAAAGCGAGAAATCAGCTTTAAAACTGTCTGCATTCATTTTCATACAAATTCGTACATACACCTCAGAGTAGACGAGGGCTAAAGCCAAAGCCGATCAATGCGAGAAACCAAACTTGAAGCGTTTTTCGGAAAGCAATTTCATTACATTTTGACGAAAAGTTTCAGCTGGGTGTGTTGAATGGATTCGCTTTATCACAATCACTTCTAGCCCACGCATTACAGTTAATTTTTAATACCGCAAAGTGGCTTTGTTCGACATTTTAGAAATTTGATGCTTTTATTCAAAGTTTTCTAGATCGAGTAATCAATTTTTTCATCAGCCGATAGTTGAGATAAGGATTTTCGTATTGACTCATAGGATAATTTAAACCTATAATTTCAGCTAGTTGAATTTCCTCTGTATACCTGTCCACATCTAACTCTAGTTGTTCTATTTATATGATTTGTAGACAGTTTTTAGTAATCCTGAATTACTTGATTGAACGAAGTCCAGTTCGAATTTTTATTGTAAATGGACAGTAAGTTGGCGTTCCGGTCGAACCAATCTTACATCCTGTTTCTTGCAACGACTGGAATAAGTCTCGTCCTTTTGATGTCATTAGGCGCGATCCACAGTAGACATGCTTCGCATTAAAGTATAATAAATGTGTGGGTGTGCATGTTGAAAAGCATTTTATATTTATCAACGAGAATTATGTACCTCGGCGGACAATATATTGAAGTAACCGATATGAGTTGGTTTATTATTTCTAATGTAATAGTGTAGTTTTAATATTGTTTTTTCTTTCTCATAATGCTAAATATGGTTTTTCTAATAATAGCAGTATCTCCCCATGCCGTTCAAAGTGTATTTTATACTTCCAATGCAGGATCTAAAAGTCACAGTGGAGCTACATTCCAACATTACTGCTTTTCCCTGAAGTTTGAGGAATTTAGGATTTAATATACACATTTATTCGACGGCGCATTAAAACCTGAACGTGAACGAAATATAGTACGCGGATATTTCACGCGCTTGAGGATAATAAGATTGCAGTTGCAGTAGCGAACGGTTTGATAATGCGATAACTATAGCTTAACGAAACGTTCCGTAAATAAATTGCGTAAATTCTACAAAGAATAAATAATAATACCGTTATTTATTTATTTCTTAATTCTGAAAAAATTTACACGTCGTATAAAAACAAACCAAACAAGTAAGGAACGGTTAAGTTCGGGTGTCACCGAACATTTTATACTCTCGCATGATAAAGTGATATGGTTTTTGGTCCATAAGTGGGCGACACCACGAACTTTTTAAATTTTTAAAAAAATTCTGGGTGTAGCTTCCCTCTGCCATTTCTTCCGTAAAATTTAGTGTTTCAGACGTTTTATGTTAGTCGGTTAACGCACTTTTAGTGATTTTCAACATAACCTTTGTATGGGAGGTGGGCGTGGTTATTGTCCGA